GACTGGTAGTTTCGAACCGCTGACCTTAAGGTTCGCAGCCCAATTCGTAACCACTAGGCTACCAGAGCTCCTTAACTCCACCATAGTGGGTCTATTTTAAAGAGAGAGGCTAAATTGGTCTCCCTGTCCTCACCTCTCCAAGCCAGATAGAAATGAAAGAAAGAAACATAGCTTTTTAATCTGTATCAGAATCCTCAATTTGTCCAGTCCTCTGAAATTATAAATTTACTTTATACTTAAATTGGTTTGTGCATTTTTCTGGAGAAGATTGATTTTTATTAGCTCCTTAGATGAGTCAGAGATTTAAAAACAAAGTGTGCTGAGCCTTGTACACTTTACTTTTCTGTGAGTGACCAATTCTGAAAGGCTGACTATGTCCTTTCTCTAAACCACTAGAGTCAAGAGCCCAGGATACTTCCTGAACCTTAATTAAGATGAACTCTATAAACCAACCCTCTGCTCAGCAAAGACATATTGAATTATGAACAAAAGATGTATTCTAAAATAATTATCTGAGATAATTATATTTTAATTATTCTTATTAATATCATGAATGTTATTTATTGTTTCTCATTACTTTTCTAAATGATCTGAATGTGGTCTCGTTGGCTTTAGGGACAGTGTTCACAATGTTAGGTTGAAAAAAAAAATTACACACACACAAAATTTTTTTTTAACTCCCAGCATTACTAAGGGTGAAGGTTGAAGTTAGGTTAGGTCTAAAAATAATTAATTAGAACGTGAAGACATTGAAAAGCGACTAGCATATTTATACTTATATCTGTATATAGGGAAGGCGCTCTGGTAGCCTAGTGGTTACGAATCGGGCTGCAAACCTTAAGGTCAGCGGTTCGAAACTACCAGCCGTTCCGCGGGAGAAAGATGAGGCTTTCTACTCCCGTAAAGATTTACACCCTCGGAAACCCTGTACAGGGTCGCTATGGGTCGGAACCGACTCGACGGCACTTAACAACATAACAACTGTATATAGGGTATCAGGATACATGCATTTATTATGGTGCTTTGGAGTGCATTTACCGTCTGTCCTCTTAAAATTCTTGAGTGCACACACATAAATGTGGACCTTCATTAACCAGGCTTTCTTTTCTTGCCAGAGAGATTTTTAAAAAGTTGTTTTTCCTTCACCCCCTACCTCCCCTGTACATCCGTGTTCAGAGTGAACCTACTATTGCTGCAATTTAGATGGATGTAGGCACTGAACTGCTAACCTAAAGATCCTCATCCAAACCCACCAGCCATTCCTGTAAACCCTATATAGGGCCGCTAGGAGTCAGACCTGACTTGATGGCATTTAACAATAGCACAGTGACATCCGACTATGTCGTCAAACCCTACTGCACAGGTAGAACAGATAACGCTCTACTGCTAAAAACATCCTATAGTGGGCAGCTGTACGATTAGCACTAAACTGTGAATTGCAAGGTCAGCAGTTCAAACCCACCAACCGCTTCCTCGGAAACCCTATCTAGGGTCATTATGAGTCAGGAATCTACTAGATGGTACTTAAACAACTGCATTTAAACAAATCACCAGAATAACTCCCGCTGTGAGTTTCCTTCTACATCTGACCATTGAACCAGAAGGCATCATGACTTCCTTGGTCTTTATGATGATTAAGTAAGCGAACGAATTCGATTCCACGAGGTGTGGGAGGGGAAAATTGATGCTAAGATTTTACAAATTATTTAAATCTTTTTTCATCTTAAACCGCACCCCCCACACTCAAGAGAGTACTTTTGTCCCTGCAGCCCACCCATGCAAACACAAACAAAACACAAACGCTTATTATACACTTCATTGAAGAAAAAAAGTGAACTAGCTGCCAACCGGAGACTTTTCTTAGAGATGGAACTGGCGAGATTCTCAAGCGTCAGGTGTCTTAGTGCCAGCGCGACAGAGCGCACCTGGGCTGATAAGACTCGTGCCAAGGTTCTCAGATGGGAATTCCTGGCACTGAGACGCCGCCGTTGGCGCAAGCTCTGGAGCTGGGTAGAGCAGAGCCGAAACTCCATTCTTGGATTCGCTTTCCTTGAAGCTGCCAGCAGCTCAAAGCGAAGTTTGCGCCAAGAACACGCTTCTCCACGCTCCTGAAGGCAGAGCAAGAGCTGTTTCCCCCCACAGAGCCAGGGGCTTTCCTGAAGGATTCAACGAGGAGGTACAACAGCAGAGTCCGCTGCGGATCCAATCCCCTAGGGGTGGTGAGAACTGGAAGGATCCAGTCCAGACCACGGGACCATTCTTAGCTGTGAGCCAGTGCCCTTGACCTCTTCTGCAGCCGGGGGCGCGAGCCGGAGAAATGAAAGTAAAACCTGTCCTGGCATGAACCCAGCTGGAAGGTAGCGACAAGCAGGTTGTAGTCCCTGACAGACTGACAGATATCCTGTCCTGGACAGAGTCGGGACGAAAAGTCCAACCTGCAGGGGAAGAAGTGAAAGGAAGAGATGGGAAATTGGGGCAAGTGAGAAAAATAGAATTAGTTCCGCTGGAGAGGTTTCTGGAAACAGTAGCAGCGCAGAGCAGAGACCCTCCCCGCGACCAGATTTACTGAGGAAACTACCCTGGGGCAAGAAAGGCGGCCTGCGCCAGGCAGGGTCGCTCCGCTGTTCCCCCTTGATCCCTGGTGCCAGAACCCTTACCAGAGCCAGAGCCTGGGATCTGTTCTCCTCCCTCAGCTGAAACTCAGGTCCGCTCAGGTGACTCCCTCTGGGAAGAGTACTCAGAATAAATAACTCCGTACGGCCATTCCTTCCCCAGGTGCAATGTCCACGGGTAAGTCCTTAGAGCTAGACGAAGGCTGAGCCAGCAATGCGCGGTCCAGCCAGCATTGTGGCCAAGGTCCGGCGGCGGCCCAGCACCCAACTGACTTTGCATTAGGTCTCAGAACCAGTATGGCAGAACAGGTAGGAAGCTTAGAGATCTGCTGGGGGCTCTTAGAGATGGGGAAACTCCAGAGGGTATAAGACTTGCCCACCTTCACACAGTGAATTGTCATATAGAACTAGACCAGTAAGTAGCACCCCAGAGGTCTGATGCCCTAGGCCTTTTAGTCTTGGTGCTAGACTTTAAGACCTGAGGCTGACGATAGGATACCAGAGACTCACATGCAAGAAGCAGGGAGCCCTGCGGGGCTGAGCTTTCCCCTCCCAGTTGGGCCCCCAGATTGAAAAGTATGGACATGAAGTCATGAAGCAGGATTGAAGAGTACAGGTGACAAACGTGTTTAAGGTGATTCATCATGAACAGGCACAAATCTTTGGGCGACGGCTGAGATTCTCTTCCCCCCCTTGACAAGGTGATGACCCCAGTCTAGAAGAATTCATACCGCGCCCCAGACTCCAGTGCTTGCTTGCATGACCTGGTTAAGAGCTCTATTTGCTTGCTGCTAGCTCTAAGGTGATTTTGGACTAGATTCTTCTCCTCTCTGAACTTCAGTTTTCTACTTGGTGAAATGGGAAAAGCAGTGTTACCTTTCCTTGCTTAACTCAAGGGTTGGTATAGGGATCAAAGGAAATCAGGATGTGACAGTGCTTTGTAAATTGTAAAGCGATTAACATAAGTGAAGCATTAGTGTGTTTGCTGGCAGTCAGTCCTCACGTTTACAATGGGTGAGTGAAGGATCTGAGAGCAGTCAGGCAAACTCTCAGGTTGTAACCTTATAAGGCATAACTGGATTCCAAAGGGGGTGACTGTGTGTGTGGAGGGGTGAGGAATGAAACGGCATCTTCTTAATTTTGGTTATTCCTAAATTTCCAAATAGGATTGTGAGATCTGAAACAGCAAATATCTCCCCCCTCCAAATCCCAATTCTCAAATCGCCTTTTCGAGCCTTGACCCTATTGCGAAATCTTATTAGCCCACCAAGGAATCGAGGGAGGGTCTCGGCAGTTCTCAGGGGGCTGGTGAGACCCGCTGCTCCTGGCTATGTTGGGTGCCCTGCCCCTGCCGCTCCGTGGGAGTCAGGGTCGCGACCAGGTCAGGCGCCAAGCCGGCAGGGGGCGCGGTCCCACTCTAGGCCACAAGTCCCTAAATCTGGGGCTCGGATCATCGCGCGGTTGCCTCCGCTGGCTCTTGCAGCACCAAGCCAGGAGTCCCGCACACTGGGCTGCACAGGTCCTGGGTAAGGACCCCAAGAGTTTGTATCGGCCCTACTTCGCCTTCAGGTCTTAATTCTGTGCCCATAGAGTCAGGGTTGTGGAAGTTCTTGCACCAATCTCCTGGAACCCTTTGAGCCCTTTGAGTAGGAGAGACCCGTACCCTCAACCCCACACTCATTGGTAAGCAATGCGCGCGCCCGAGTGTAAGAGCGCGCGCGCCCGAGGGAAAAAGGGAGGACTCGTGGGCAGCCCAGGCCCCGCCCCCGAGCTCTTTCTTATAAAGCGGAGAAACTGGAGCTGGCCACTCAGTGGTTTCTTGGTTGACACCAGCCAGAAGAACTCGAGTCTTGCCACTTCTTGCTTCTCACCGCAGCCAGACTTGGACGTTGGGGTTTTGACACTGCCAGAGTGACGTCTCGGACTTTCTCCTATTTTTTGGCAGATCCCTCTTCAGCAGGTAGGTGTCTTAAAGCCGCGGGTTAACGGGGGCCTTTTGCTGAGGTCGGAGATTGGGAGTGCTGGGTGAGGGGTACAACCCACTTTGGAGGATCTTCTGTGGGGTACAATTCACCCCGATCCCCCATTCTGGGCCCAGGTCTTGCGCATAGCGATCCAAGACGTTTTACTCCGTCAGCCAAGTCCCGGGAAGTTGACCAGGGAACCTCTAGGAGCCTGGCGCTATGCAGCGGCCTCCCCCGCGGGGCCTGTCACCCGCCGGCTGGTGCAAACGTCGCTGGCGCCTCTTTGCGCCCGAGGGAGATAAGCGTCTGAGCCAAGCCGAGAGCCTGAGCTGGTTCTCTGCCCTCCCTCCGTGCTGCGACTGGTCCGGGGATTCACGCTCGGCTCCTGGTTCTCTTTTCCTAGGATCTGCACCTCGCCGCCGGAATGAAGCTGGTGCCAGTCGCCCTGGTGTACTTGGGTTCGCTTGCCTTCCTAGGCGCTGATACTGCGCGGCTCGACGTGGCGTCGGAGTTCCGAAAGAAGTGAGTTCCAGACTGCGCTTTTCGCAATACTAGAACTTGACACAATAGAAACGGACCGTGGGTCCTCAGGGGTTAGAGGAGATGAGGGACAGGGACCAGTCGTTGGGACTGGCTGCACCGTACGGCACAGGGCAGGGTGCCCGCCGGGACCTCGCCCTGACGCTTGCGCATCTGGTCTGCTTGTGTTTTCTAGATGGAACAAGTGGGCTCTAAGTCGTGGGAAGAGAGATTTATGGGTGTCCAGAAGCTACCCCACCAGTCTCAGTGACGTGAAGGCCGGGACAACCCAGACTCTCATTCAGCCACAGGAAATGAAGGGAGCTTCTCGCAGCCCCCAGACCAGGTAAATATGGTGGGTGCCGCCCAGGGAACGGGGATACTTAGGCGGGGAGAGCTCTTGGCTCTTGGAGATAGTGAGGACAGCTAATCTGATGGTGGGTCCTAGGATTGCACCCTTTCTTGGTGGAATGGGCCAGAGTCCTACTTGATGGGGGAGGGGGTCTCACGTTGCCTAACTCCCTCCCTTCCCCCCAGCAATCCCGAGGCCTCCCGCATCCGAGTCAAGCGCTACCGCCAGACCATGAACAATTTCCAGGGCATGCGAGGCTTTGGCTGCCGCTTCGGAACGTGCACTGTACAGAAGCTGGCGCATCAAATCTACCAGTTCACGGACAAGGAGAAGGACGACGTCGCCCCCAGAAACAAGATCAGCCCCCAGGGCTACGGTCGCCGGCGCCGTCGCTCCCTGCCGGAAGATGGCCAGGACCGGACTCGGTTATCCTTGGAGTCGCGGGCTCGCAGGGCTCCAGCCTCCAGGGAGCACCAAGTGCTCGCCGCCCTTCTCAGGATTTAAGCGCCGTGGCTGCAGCGAACACCAACGCAAGCATCCTGCGGGCGCCTCCCGGGCGAAGGGCTTCACTGAGCCGAGCCTCTCAGTCAGACCGAGTTGAGACATAGTCCTGCAAAGACCCCACGTCAACAAGGCACAGTCCCGCGGCGAGTTCTGGCATTGCAGGGGCCCATTCTCCTTGCCGGACAACGCTCCCTCCGCTGGGATCCCGCCCGGGTTCTCCAGGGGTCCAAAGAAATCCCAGGGAGTATTTCCCAGGCTTTCGAAGAGAAGGCACTGAGAAATACATGCTGAGACTCCGGGGCAGGGGTCCGTGCCCGTCCACAAACTGATTTCTCATGGGGTGTTACCCCACTGAGGTGTAAGCCTCACAATTACTTGAACTTTCCGAAACCTAAGCGAGGAAAAGTGCAATGCTTGTTGTATATACAGAGGTAACTATCGATATTTAAGTTTGTTGCTGTCAAGATTTGTTTTGTAATTTCAAATATAGAAATATTTTTGTACGTTATATATTGTATTAAGGGCATTTTAAAGCAATTGTATCCCCCCTATTTTAATGGGAGAATGTCTCAGCGAGGTGTAGTGTAGTTTGCTGTGTGGGTTGTGTGTTTGTGTGAAAGCGAGAGACTGATTACCTCCTGTGGAAGAAGGAAACACCGTGTCTTTATATAATCTATTTACATAAAATGGGTGATATGCGAAGTAGCAAACCAATAAATTGTCTCAATGCTGATTCATTCTCAGCTCAAGCGTCTTGGGAAGGGTGGGTGCCTTCGTTCTAACCGGCTTAGGCGCAGTGGGGGCCCTCCCGCAACGCACTACACTTAAACTTACACTTAACTGCACTGACTGAGCGATCACGAGGTCGACTGTCCATGTGGGGCGCTCAAAGCGCGTGCCCTGGGCACGGGTCAGGGCTTCGTGGAGACGCCGGAGGTCACCGCCTCGCGTGGCAGCCAGACCGGGAGGGGTGGGGTGAGCCCTAGTGGAGAGGCAAGCAAGAACTCTCCCTGTTGCGCAACATTGTCAGATTTATGGAGTTGTTCATGGAACCAAGCGCAAAAACACGCCTGTGAGAGTTGGGGTTTCTAAGTGAGGGGTTTCCCCAGGTTGCTGCGAGTGTTACAGTTAGAAGCTACCCCAGAAAAGTGTTGGAGGGATACCTCCGGGAAACCACAGCTGGACCTGGTCAATAACCCCAGTCCTTTCTGGCCCGAGTCCAGCTGGTCAACGGACTCATAAGCAAGGCTGTAGCTCCCCCTACCGTTCCCTGCACACCGTCAGCCTGTACGTGCGATTTAATAAATCCTGCTACGTGGGAGTCAGCACACAGACTTAATAAAAGAGGGGGTGGAGGGGGAGCTGTTTGCAGATGCCAACCAGGGCAGGCCTCCCCTCCTCTCCCCAGACCTGCAAGACGGCTCCGCATTCGGTGACTGTGACTCAGCGCCCACACGCTGCGCAGTGTGCAGCTGCTGACCAGCGGCGGTCTGGACGGACGTGCCGCCGGAACCGTGCGCCTCGGACGGCCTGAGACCTTCATTGTTCCCCTCCCCTCGCCGTTCTCCTCTTCCTTCCTCCTTCCAAAACTTTAAAAAACGTTTTCCTCTACTTCTCTATCGCCTTCCTTTTTCTATCTCCTTCCTTCCTCTCCTTGCCTTCTTTATGTTTTATCATCTTAGAACGTTGATCCCAGTTCCGGCGGTAGAAGCCGACCTGTAAAACCCCCAGTGGGAGTGCGGTGTCTCTGTAGGATAAGCACTGAACTGAGAACCACAAGGTCGTCGGCGTTGGAGTCCACAAGCCGCCCTGAGGGAGAAAGATGAAGCTTTCTGCTCCTGCAAAGATTTATAGCCTCAGAAACCCTATACAGGGTAGCTATGGGCCAGAACCGACTTGTTAGCACCTAGCAAGAAGCCCTCTGCGTTGACTAGGAAGGGCAAAGACGTAGCGGGAATCATGGAGCAGTTAGTACAGAATGGAAAGGCGGAAGGTGGCAGAGGAAGGCAAAATACTTGCCTACAGAAAATGCACCCTTGTTTTTTATTTTAATTTCCTTGCCCCATTCTCTTATCCAGTATTCTGAAGACCTAGAACGGAGATCAAAAGCTTGTCGTTTCCAAAAAGCCTCTCCCCGACCCCCCTCCCCCACTCCGTTTTTCCATTGCAAACCATGACTGAAATGTTGTTGCTTTTAGTAATCTCAGAAACCTTCCTGATAAAACCTGAAGGTGAGTTTGGAGGCTGGAACTACTTCTGGGAAGTAGCCTACAGCCTCCTGGGTCTTTTGCCTCTATTTTTTAATCACAGGACTCTAAGGGGCCAGGATGGTGAATTCCTTTCGTGCACACTGAAAGACAGAGGTCCTAGGGGTCTGGAGTCTGACTACAGATGCTGAAGCAATTTAAACTGAGAAGAAAGTAGGCCATTGCACCTGAATTTCCCTAAGGCCATTGTTGTTGTTGTTGTTGTTAAGTGCCATCGAGTCGGGTCCGACCCACAGCGACCCTGTACAGGGTTTCCGAGGGTGTAAATCTTTACGGGAGTAGAAAGCCTCATCTTTCTCCCGCGGAGCGGCTGGTAGTTTCGAACCGCTGACCTTAAGGTTCGCAGCCCGATTCGTAACCACTACGCTACCAGAGCTCCTTTCCCTAAGGCCACACCAGTGATCTCTTGCTTCATTTGTAGCCACCAATTCTGGTGATTCTCACAAAATCATTAAGATCATTCAGGGAAATGAACTATTAGAGGACTGATATTGTCAAATAGATTAAAATGTCCAAAAATTGAGGCCTCCAAGCCACACAAGGCCTCAATTTTTGGACATTTTAATCTATTTGACAATATCAGTCCTCTAATAGTTCATTTCCCTGAATGATCTTAATGATTTTGTGAGAATCACCAGAATTGGTGGCTACAAATGAAGCAAGAGATCACTGGTGTCCTCAAGGGCCATTTTGCAAATATTCCCTTAGAACACTGGACTAGGTACTGCACAAAGTACTCATGTATGAACGAGTGACTAAAAATCCAGTTGTGGAGTTTCTGTGCCAGTGAGTGGCTCCAGGTGGTCTGAAGAGGCTACGCAAACTGCAGAGAACCATAAACTCTTGCACCACATAGACAAACCATATGATTAAATCATAACCACAGAACCCTCTATCCAAAACTCACCCTGGCTGGGCTTCAGGTGCCAGACAAAGCTGCCAAAGACTGGTTGAACACTAGCTTAGGGCTGTTCTGAGCAGGGAATGGGCATCTAGCCTTCAGCTGAGGGAGTCTCATGACTTCAAGGAATCCAAAGCAAGTGAAGGAGATGGTTCAGCTCTGAGATAAAAAGGCAGCTGCTCAGCTGGAGCCCTTCCCAACTGGAAATCCTGTGACTGGAGATATGTCTGAGGAGACAGAGACCCTTCTGAGAATAGTCTGGTATGAATTAGGATTGATTAGAGGTCACCATCAAACCCTGGCACTCTTCCTTGTAAGAATTCAATTTACCTGCTAGATTTCTGTATTTTTAAAATAAGGTGCTGAAACCTATCAGGATAAGGCCTTCTGATGCCAAGAACACATCGTTTATCAACAGTGATGAGTCATTTGTGAGCTGATTTGACCTGTCCACAACTAAGGAGTAGTCACAGCTCTTATCTTTAGCTACTGTTGCTGGCTGTGGGAATGCTACCATCCATTTGTAATCAGACACAGGGTACCAGGCGATTTCTTGAAAAGTCAACACCTTGGCTGAATAGCGAACGGTGGAGGGCAGTGATGGGGAGGGGTAAAAACAGATTCTTTTCTTAGCACCTACTTTGTGTCAGACCTTCTCCTAGCCACTCTATATACTTTATCTCCTCGGTCCTTACAGCAGCCTTGTGAAGTAGGTGTTATTAGCTCTTCTTGTAGACAAGAAAACTAAACTTCAGAGACATAAAGTAACTTAGCCTGGCTTACAACGGTGAGTAATAAGTAGTGGAGTCTGGATTTGCGCCCAAATACTGCAAGCTATTTTGATGCTATGAAGACTTAGGGAGTAAAATGGGATAATTTTAACATCTGGGTCCTTAAGTCAGATGTCCCCAAATGTCCTCCCCTACAGGGATGGCTTAAGTAGGTGATTTACACCTGTGGTTAGAAAAGATTTACAGGAGGCTGGCAGAGCTGGGAAGGAGAGCTGCTTCAGTTGTAAGCTCAAGTAAGTGCAAAATAAATAAATGAAGTGAGTTTTAAAATTCTTGGTTCTGGTTTGAAGCAGGGATTATAAATCAGGAATAACCTCCCCCCCCAACCCCCCCATCCCCGCTCCCCTGAGTTAAGCCTCTGACCTCTTTGGTTTTCATTGCCAAATATAGTTAGAACATACACTGAAGTCCTCAAGAGCTGGCTTCTGAGGGAAAGGCCTTCTGAGCTATTCCTGGCCAAACACAGCCCTACACTGTAGGTCTTGAGTCGCCTGCAAGAACACCTGTGTCTACAAAGCTGCAAATAGAGTTTCCACCCTTGGGGGGGAACCTTTTGTCTTTGGCAACTGCTGCTCAAGGCATCTTTTCAGAGCTGACTCTGAGAGTTATGCGTGCTACCCCTCCTTCCCCTAGCCATGAAGGAGAGGGTGAAGGGCCTTGTTATCCTGGGTCCCACAGAGGTTTCTGCCAAAGCCTGATTGGAGCCTTGGTCTTCATTTGCATGGGAAGAAGGGTGAGGCTAGATAACTATCTGGTGGTCCCACTGGTCTTATTCCAGAGCTATTTTGGAACATTCTGGAAAAACAATAAAATGACTGTGGCCACACAAGCAGTTGACTTTAGTAGGTTATTGTACATTTATCCAACAGCAGGAAAGAAGTTCTGACTGGTAAGATGAATTTTTAAAATATAAAAAAAAATAAATTGAGAGTAAAGAAAAATTGCATATGTCCTTTTCCAATTCACTAGAGGAAAAAAGGATAAAAAAAAATGCATTTTATTTATTATATAATATTTTTTCACAGTAGAAAATAAGATTCA